CAAAAGACAATCGTTATATCAAGTATTAAGAATGCTGTGCTGGCAATGACACCAACTTAAATACGTATAAAATCCATAGTGAATTAACAACAATGAATAATAAAAATCAGAAAATGAAAAAGAATTGTTAAATCGTATTTTATTTCACAACTTTGACTGTTTATAATAGAGTACAACATAGGTATTGATAAGAGTGAGGAATTCTAAAGAATAAACGTTTTCAGGAAATTATGTGTCGGTTCAGGCAGATCTCTCCGGATGGAAGCGAGTGCGGTTGCATGAAGGCGATCGTGCTCTTCACTCCAGGTAAACATCATTCAACTGTTTAAGAAAATAACAAATTTCATGTGTGATTTGTTTTTCGGTTGTTGCTATAGAAACAGCAGGTTTATGCGACGTGCAGCCGGTGGAGATGCTGCAGGATCAAGCGCAATGCATTTTGGGTGATTACGTTCGAAATCGCTACCCCAGACAGCCGACCCGTTTCGGACGTCTCCTGCTGCTGGTGCCCAGTCTGCGCGCCATCCGACCGCTGACCGTCGAACTGCTCTTCTTCAAGGAGACAATAGGCGAGATTCCGATCACGCAACTTCTCGGCGACATGTACTACATGGAAAAGTGCTCAACAATCCAAGCGTAGACGAATTCAATTAGTTCTAATTTGTACCATTCTCGATTGTTACCTTCCAAATCCAAATCCAAATCCAAACTTTATCCTCCTCCTTCTTCAATCCTCTGCAAATATATCGTATATATCTCTATTTCTTTCAATGTACAGTTAAAATTTCTCCTCTCTATCTCGTTGTTCTCTTCCGTTCGTTTAACGACACTCGTATCAAACAATATTTACATCTAAAATAAGTATAGTTAATAATATTTAAGATTAAATGTAATTGTAATTATTAAAAATAACAAGATAATATCGATATCGTAATATTAATGATCTAGTCTTTGTTTCTGTGATATATTTAATTTATTATAATTGATTGTTATATATTCGCTTATTAGTGCAAATTTCGAACACACAACTATTCAATAAATGTATATTTAAACATCAACTGTTATTTCTATCCATTAATGAATAATTGATGTTATTCATCGTGAAAGGTGAAAAAAGTCATTTGAGAGCTGTCTTAGATTTCGATAATAATCTTAGCGCTAGGAAGATTGATGAATAATGGAATATGTTACGTGATTTGCTTCGGTGTCATTGGAGCGCGTAAATCTGCAATTGCTTTGAGGACAGAACCTTCCTAGCAACGACGACGGAGCCAACCTGCAGACCGTCGCGCAGCGCCTCCTCTGGCACCTTGATGTAGACGCAGGTGGGATGCGAGGTGTGCGGTCGTGATCTCCTCTTTACTTTGACTCTATTATTCTGCGGGCAATGAGCAGTTTGCGGTCTGCTCGGCTTCCTCGTTGAAACACCAACTCCTGCATCTCGTACGGACACCTCCCGCAGCCACTGCCTGAAGATCTGCTCGTTCTGATCCCGTCGCCTCTCCGCAAACTCCCGCTGCACTTCTCTACTCTTCTGCTCCCTCAGTCTAACAGCCTCCCTTCGCCTCTCGCGCCTCTCCAATTGCCTGTAGCTCAACCCGTACTCGGACCTGCAACCCGTGTACATGGGTAACTTCCTGGCAACGTTTTCCGTTCTCTCGCAGCACTTCCTCGTGCGCAGCTTTAGCGGCGGACATGGCGGTCGTCCCTCGTCTATAGCAGAAGCCGCCGGCTGCGGCTCGAAGCCCTCGATGCAGTGGTTTTTGCAATCGATGCGGTAATTAGCGGAGCGCCGCCGGCACTTTTTGCTCCGCCGGTTTCCATTAACGACGTTAAGTTTTTCCTCCACCTCCTCCTGCTGCTCCAGTTCCACCCCATCCTCAGTTTCCAACGTCTCGTCAATCTCATCGTTAACGATCTCCTCCCTGATTTCATCCTCAACAATTTCATCAATCTCTTCCAACTCCTCCTCCTCCTCCTGGATATCGTAGATACGACTGCTGCTCAATATGTATTGCAACTCTTCTACCGGCGTCTGATCCGGACTCTCGTTGTAACTCTCTATGCTCTGCACATCATCATCGGTCAGATCCGGCTCGTAGTCCACAAGGTTTTCGTGGAACTGCACCCTCTGCTCCCTAATCGACAAAGTCGAATCATCCTCGAGGAGCGCCTTATTTGCCGCCTCCAGTTTCTCCTTCAGATCGTAGGGCGAAGACGCCGGTTGCAAAACTACAAACCATAATAGTTAAACTACAATTACACTACATACAATCAAGTAGTTAATTTGGGGTTCCAGACTAAAACAAAATGCTGATTGTTTAGACAAAACATGAAACACTCGAATGCGGTCCACAATAAACACCCGCATTGTTTAATCAATAACATGAGACGCGTTTCCAAATTCATTGCGGAATTATTACTAGCTGATAAATGAAATGAGATATAATATACTTACAGAACGATTCGTAATCTTCCTCCTCTTCGCTCTCTGATTTTATAATATTGCTCTCCTCGCTGCAGCTCATTTCAAATCAATTTATTTTTAACAAAACAACAGTTACCATGGTGATACTAACAAGAGAGTGTTGTATTGAGAGTTGAGCATTGAACAATGCAGCGGAATTTCATTGGACCAATCGTTAATTGATAATGTTTAAGGGTTGGTAATTAAATAAACAATTGAAATGTTTAAGTTAATATTTGAATTCACGTACTTTGGGTTGCATAAGATGCGTGATTAAGGGATTTGGTGTGCAGATGTCGCTCGGAATGCGATTGCCAACTAACCGGTTTTAGGTGGGCGCATGCATTTGAATGCACAGTTATTGTTTTTGGGAGTTATCTAAGTAAACACTCGAGATTTTTATTTCATTTATTTTTTGTATATGAATTAATTGAAGTGCAACACACTAATCCCATCTCATTCCACGGCCACGTCGCTTCCAGTATGTTTCGAAGTTTCGTCTTCCTGTGTTTGCTCGTTTGTTTTGTGGGGGCTCTAGATGAAGAGTCTTGCCATTCCTATGCTGGCGGAAGCGTCTACCCACTAGGTTCGGATCCCTCCAAGACTGACCACAAGCTGCAATGGACAAAAGCTATGAGTGAGTTGTGCTAACTGGACCATTGAAGCATTTGTTAACCTCTTTTTACATTTACAGTCTCAAAGCCTGCTCCGTACTGGGAGAGTACAGCTGTTGTCAATGGAGAGTTCATCCAGCTCAAGTCCACCGACTACCTGGGCAAATACATGATCTTTTTCTTCTACCCATTGGATTTGTAAGTTGTCAATACTGATTTTTCTGAAATATTACTAATTTTCCAATTAAGCACTTTTGTGTGTCCCACTGAGATCCTGGCGTTTAGCGACAGAATCGATGAATTCAAGAAGATCAACGCAGAAGTTGTGGCATGTTCTGTGGACTCGCATTTCACGCATCTCGCTTGGATTAACACGCCAAGAAAGGAGGGTGGACTTGGCAAAGTCAACATTCCTTTGCTCTCTGATCTCACACACAGCATCTCCAAAGACTATGGAGTGTTCTTGGAAGACGTTGGCCATACTCTAAGGTATAAATTAATCTTATAAGAATCTCCAATTGGATCGAAATAACACCGATTCGTATTGTTTGTCGTAGGGGACTTTTCATCATCGATCCCAAAGGAACTTTGAGGCAGATTACCATGAACGATCTTCCAGTCGGTCGCAGCGTAGACGAAACCTTGAGATTGGTCCAGGCCTTCCAATACACCGACAAACATGGAGAAGTCTGTCCAGCTGGATGGAAACCAGGACAAGATACAGTAAATCCTTAACACATCTACAAATTGTACATGATTCTAAACGTTTATTTATTCTTCAGATCATTCCGAATCCCATTGAAAAGAAGAAATATTTCCAGAACCATTGACGCTACTCAACCTGATAAAATACTTTCCACCCAAAGTAAACATCACCTATTTTTATATGAACAATTGCAAAATAGACATGTATTTTGTACTTAATATACATATAAAACAAACAGATCAAAACATGGATAATTCTTTTAAATGCATTGTATACATTTTCCTTTCAAAGCAATATTTGATAATTCAAAAGAAAATATCTTATCGGATTTTCCGTCAAACTTGAATATAGTTCGGCTTCCCATCATCATATGGCGCTGATCTTGAATAATTAAACGCTCATAACTCTATAATTAATTAAGCAATAAATTAAATAATCTTGCCATTACACAACAGCTATGAAGCTTTATCTTTAACTTAATACAAATTATTAATTATGCTGCTAATTAAGAATCTCTGATTTGATCAGCGCCAAAACAGCTGAACTATTAACTTCGTAAGATGACCTGAAAAAGTATCTCGACTAATTTAATGTTTGGTTTGGGCCATTACTAGCGATCATTGAAAGAACGTAGTTCAGCAGTTTTGGCGCTTCTCACTTTTCGAAATTGCAATTAGGGCCTTAAATGTAAATGCAATTGAGCCAAAATGCGCGGTTTTAATTACACAATAAATTAATTGTATCTTTTAAATTGTAGAGTAAGTATTAACAAAGTTATGAATGATTTAAAATGTCTTGAGAGTGCCATCTATTGGCAAACTATTTTTTATCTGTTCAAAATAATTAATCTTAATTATTGTATTTTAGCTTTCAAAACTATAATTTTACATTACTAATTAGATGTTCTTCACTCTAGGAAAATATGTGTTAAAAAATTTGAAATGAGGGTAGCAAGAAGTTGTACATAAATTAACTATTTATTAATAATACTTGTGTTATAAAAACGTATTTAAATATGCGAGAAAGCACTTTTGGCACTAGTTAAGACTCTCTCTATCTGTTGCATGGTGCACTGATGAAGCTTCAGTCGTAAGGAACAATTTGTGTATGTTTTCAGTAATAATAATAAGGCAGCAAATTGTAAGGTTATTAATCAAACTCTGGGATATCATCGAACGAGTATCCAGGCACCTTTTTATATGCATAGTAGGCGATCCTGATGTGGTAAGCACCTGGGATGAACATGAGGATGCCGAGGATGATCATGGGCCACATCCTGTCAGAGTATTTCACATCTATGTGTCCGCTCACCACCAGACTGCCCAAAACCAGAAGCACCATTCCAGTTACCAGAAGGATGGCTGCATAGGCTACAGCCTTCCATGGGATCTTCTCTGGAGGCAGCACGAACTGTGCATCCACAAAGCCATTATCGCAGGCAGACAATTTGGTGTAGTCCACATTGTCATATTCTTTGGGTCTCCTTCGAGACATCTTAATATCATCCAGATACTCTACAAACAAATAAACATAACGACACAGTTATTACAATTGTACGTCGCTACTGTTTTACCGATCTTAGTCATGCTGTACTTATGTTATCATTAATTTATATGTTATGGTGTATGCAAGAGCGCACAATCATTATTGCCTTGCATTCAGTGCGAATGGATTGCGCGTAGATGGCGTTGTTTTCTAATTAAAATGGTTGAAGATACGCATTTACGTAATAATATGGGTGCTGTGTATTTGGTGCAGGTGTGTTTGGACTTATATTGATTAACCTGTGATGGAATGTATGCTAATCGCAGGTAGAAATCCAATTTGATCGACGATCGTTTTGCCGGAGCTTTCCAGATGCGAAGGCATGCATAATTCAAAGCTCATATTTCATGAGGAAAAAGAAAACTGTTCTTTCTCGCTCTCCGTTTGGATCGATGCAAAACGATTTGTTCTCTGCAGAAGATCTTTAGACTTTGATTGACTCGTTGTTATTAGATGCACGAGGTGTTTGTGCTTCGTCGTTTTACAAGACACTGCTGAGGTTCCCTTTCGGTGCTTGCAGTAAACACCTCCGCTTCCACCACCACCCTTCCCATTTTTATGTGCTTCTTCTGATCAATGCATTTCTCCGCGTCGGATCGTTATTTCCACCCTCATCAGGGGGAAAGGGTGAACGGGGGAGAAATACAACATCAACAATAAAAACACAATAAGTGCGATGAACAACGTGCGACATGGCATGCAGCAGTTCTCACACAAAGTTTCTCAGAACCAACTGAAAATTATAATATTCTCGGCACGAAGAAAAAATACTCGATTTCTTAATATATAGGTCACAGCATAATTCGTGCAATTCTCACACAAAACAAAAGAGATAGTTGAGATCCATGAAAGCATTAAGAAGAACAAAAGACGAACTTAATAATAAGCGCTTTTAAAACTCATCGATGAGCTTTTAACGAAAGTGCTCAACTCCGATTCTCCCATTCCCTATTATAATTACATGGAATTATTAACTCCGCGGAAATCTCATTTATTATGCAGCAGTGCACTTCTCTACTAAATCATTAATTAACAAACCGCTCCATTTCAATCAATCGCTTATATCAGCGTTTTCCAAACTGTGTATTGCTGTAATACGCGTTCAAAGTTGAAAATTGAAATTAGAACGTTCGAAAAAGCAGTGTTTTCACATTTCATTGATTTACTCGAAAACTGTAATAGATAGAATGAATCCAAAAGATGCATATGAAAGCTGAATGTTAGGGGAATCTAGCAAGTATATATAGATTCCTGTTCTCTTATCCATATTGCTGTAATACGCGTTCAAATTTGAAAAAACGTTCGAAAAAGCAGTGTTTTTACATTTCATTGATTTACTCGAAAACTATAATAGATAGAATCAATCCAATAGATGCATATGAAAGCTG